GCTTGAAAACGAAAGTGTCAAATTTCAAACATTCGCTGTAATGAAATAAAGTAATAAAAAATATAAATTATGTTAAACTTACTTGTTAATACTTCGTAAGATGTCCCTTGAGCCTGATTACATTCAAAATTCTGTTTGGTATGGACTTATAGAGGTTCTGAACATAGTTAGGTCGGATGCTTGTCCAAATGCCCCGAATTTCCTCCACGAGATCGTCTTTAGATTTAACAAAGGGAATGCGTGTCTGAAGTTTTCTTTTTATCAGTAACCAAAGGTTTTCAATAATGTTAATATCTGGTGACTGGGCAGGCCAACTTAAGCAATTTATTCCATTCCGGGCAATGTATTGTTGAGTAGACCTTGCTCGGTGAACGGGGGCATTGTCATCCTGGAAAAAATATCCACCCCTAGTAAAATGTCGAGCAATCACTGGCCACAGGTTCTCTTCCAGAATGTCCTGATATTTTTCTGCATTTATGTTACCATTCACCGGTGTAATTGTCCCCACGCCATTCCAAGAAATACAGCCCCATATCATAACTTCATACCTGGGTTGCGATGTCCGGGGTTGAATAAGATCGGGTCTCCAACCTTCGTTCCTCTTGTGCCAAATATGAACCCGCTGGTCGTGTCCAATCATTATCTTGCTCTTGTCTGAGAATATAACTTTATTCCAGTTATTCTGAACTGTCCATCGCCTTTTCTCTCTGCACCATGCCAGTCTCTTTCGTTGGTTAACCTCCTTCACAACCAGTTTTTTCTTACTTACACATCTTCTATATTCATGATTATGCAAATGACGCTGAATAGTCCGCTTACTTACAGATTCACTTTCAGTCCTGCCTTCATTAAATTTTGATGTAATATCACTTAAAGACTCCCGACGATGCGTTTTCACAAGCCTTTCTAAACCACGGTAATCCCTTTCTTTCATTTTCGCCGGCCGCCCACTTCTCGGTTTATTTTCCACTGACCCTGTGGCAAAAAACTTTCGTGCTACATCGATAACTGTTGATTTTGGGATTTTCAACATATCACTGACCTTGTGACGGGAAAGACCACTCTGTATTAAATCTATAATGATATTTTTCGCCTCCACCCCAAGCTCCTGCCCTTTTCGACCCATATTTTCAAATTCGTAATTCTGACAACTTTCGCTAACTACAGACGACAACAAATTATCATGTGATACATCATGTGACTAAAAATCTAAATTTACGACAATTCGTCATCGATGACGTGTACATACAAAAACAGGAGACTCGATGTATGTACTTTCGTTTTCAAGCGTAAACAAGTCGCCATGTTGACCGAATACTTATGGCACGTGTCTGTATTTTTGGAAATAATATACCTTGAATTATCTAAGAACTATTTTAGAATTTCCCAGAATCTCCATGGATTTAAAAGTGCCTGAATAAATCTGTCATTTTATATTGGGTTTTACATTTTTGGGGGGTCTAAACTTATTTAGGGGTATGCATCAAATTGTGGCACTAGACTTAGAGGGGGAAAGATGGAAAGGTGTTAGCAGAATACATTTATAAATCTATGTGTATGTTTCCAACTTATCACAGGGTTTCATTAAAATGATTTAAAAGATTATGAAAATGTTTTAAGTGATGGAAAATTCAGTTCAATGTATATAATTTTTGCACATGCTTTTCAATTTCAAATACAATGTACAGTAATTTACTTATTATTTTCCAGTCCTCAAAACCCCTTCTGATGGCAGTCCGAGGAGTGGTTTTTGATGTCTCATCAGGAAAAGGTAATATCTGTTTCTAGATGCCTGATGGAGTACTTGTTACATGTACTTCTCTGAAGATTAGAGTAAAAAATGTTACTCATTCACACAACATTTTTTAATACTACATTGCAATAGAAAGTTATCATTATTTTGACAAAACCTTTATTGATTTAAAATTTTATCAATTTTTAAAGTTTAAGTTAACTCTAGTGTTATTTTAATTATTGCTCTCATTTTCATATGCTAATGTACCTTGAATGTGTATAAAACTTTTTTGTTTTCATTACTTAGTTACCTTTTTTGGTTCTAGATTTTTATGGCAAAGGTGCAGGATATTCTATTCTTGCTGCTAAAGATGCAAGCTATGCAATAGCAAAATGGTCATTGGAGGAGAAAGACATGCATCATGACCTGGTAAATTTAAATAACAACTGAGTATGATGTAATATAGAGTACACATCATGCATAAAATGAATGTGAAATTTTATGTTATATCTATTATGAAAATGTTACTTTATGGTACATCCCTACATGTACTGATCACCTTTGGTATTCACTATTGTAAGGATGTATGACATGTAAAATGTATCTATGGCACATGTTTCAAAAGTAGAGACATCAGTGCTTCTTTATTTAAAGCAGTCAATGACTTGTTTTCATTTCAACAGAGTTCTCTATCTGACCATGAACTAGAAGGACTAGATAAAGTTTTCCTGGAGACATACAAGAAAAAATACCCAGTGGTAGGTTACATGGACTATCTGATAGAAGAACATGGGAAGAAGGTGGAGGACAGATTCCAAGGAGAGCTATGATTTTTTCCTTGATGTTGAAGAAAGTCGATTATAAGTCCAACGGGTGCTATAGAGAAGAGTTGGTTGTGATAACTGCAATGTGCCTCAGCAATATGAATTGTTATAAAATTTGTTAGCATTATTTTTGTTAAAAAATTGCACTAATGAACTACTTAAAAGAATTTTACATGTTACCGGTATCTGATTTGATATGCTCATATAAATTATTGACAAAGTCACTTTAATGTAGATTTATTTTATATTACTCAGAATCTTCATATCACATGTATCTCCTTTTGTGAATCATATCTTTTTCTTCCATTTAAACACTTAATTAACCAGTGATATTGTACCTTGAAATTGTTCACTTACCATGATATAAAGATTTTGGGGATTTTTGTTTATACATGTCGTACATGTAAGTAAAGAAGTCACTGCATTTATGTACATTTGAGAAATCACATTCCATTAAATTTAAGCTACACAAAGTATGCAAACCAAACAAGAACATGTCATTCTTTTTGATATATTTATATAAATATACTTATATGTACATATCTATTTGGAAAGTAAGTTTTTTTTTCATATGAATTATGAATAAAATGGTCATATAAAATTTACTGTAAATGTATTATCATCTGTTTTGTATTCCATTTAGTGCTTTAGGTGGAAAACAGCTTCAGGCTACTAAATATTATACACTCAAAAGAAGATGGGTTACTTGTATACATCTTGATGGAAAGATGCGTGGTTCCATCCTCAGGTGGATCCTCCTTCATCGGCTGTTTCGGCGCTGTCCACTACAACCTCCAGAGGTGCGCCGACTGGGGTGATCAAGTCCCAGCCTGGAACCACTTGGCTCTACATCACTGCTGTACTAATTCAGTGTCTGTCTTACTTTTGTTTATTCACATCACTGCTGTTCTAATTTACTGTCTATCTCACTAATGTTTATTGTCTTTCCACTTATCTGCTCTTCTTCTCCACAACCACATGGACGCTGATTCCGCCTCCCTGCACAGATTCCCTATCAGTCTCCTTCTCTCTGCTCCCGTTATGCCAATGGCTCTCAGTCTCTCCACATAGACTGTCCCACGAATCCTCTACAACCCACTTCCACTGCAAAAAACCAGACCTTCCATCCGTTCTGCTGACAATCTTTCAGTAGGTCTTGGTACTTAAGATTTTTCCTTTCATATGCATCCTCCATCCTATCTTCCCATGGCACTGTTAATTCCAAAATAATTGTCTGTCTTGTAGCCATTGACCAAAGGACTACATGCGGCCTCTTGTTTGTGGCTATTATTTCCGGCGGAAATACTAATCTTTCCTTAAGGTCTACCCGCATCTGCCAATCTGTTGCTGTCCCCAACAGACCACTTCCTTCAACTCTAACTTTATGTCCCTTTTCACCTTCTTTCACAAAGTTGACAAATCTCAGGCTCTCTGCGTTCTTCTTTGGCCTTTTAATACCTTTCTCCAAGGTGTCAGCTATACTGGCTAGGACTCTATCATGTCTCCAAGTGTATCTCCCATCTTTCAAAGCCTCTGAGCATGCTGATAATATGTGCTCCAAGTTTGCTGGTTTACCACAGAGGACACACTTTGGATCTTCTGTCATTCCCCATGTTACCAGGTTAGTTGGGCTGGGAAGAACATCATAAACTGATTTCAGCTTAAACTGAAGTCTGAATGGTTCCATCTTCCAAATATCATTCCATCCCAACTTCACTTGACATGCATTTTCCCAGTTCACCCAGCTACCTTGTTTCTTCATTCCAACTGCTTTGACCATTCTCGAATCTTCCTCCATTGCACGCACCTCTCTCTGCACCGAACTACGCTTCTCCTCTACCGAAGCTGTACCCCATCTTGCTGTTGGTGTGACATCAAGTCCCTGCCTTCCTATTGCCAGGCTTCCAACAATGTCACTGTGTCTCAAGCGGGATTCTGCGTCTTGTACAGTTTCTTTTACTGACCATTTTCTCCCCGTCCTGATATCTACTTTTGCTGTCCGAACCTTCTCGTCTTTGCTATTCTGTAACATTAAGTGTTGACGCACCTTTGTCACCTTGAATTCCTCAGTTATTGACTTTAGAGGTAACTGTAGCTTAGTCCCAGAGCTATACAATCCAATGCTACTGAAACTTCGTGGTACCCCCAGCCATCTCCTCAGGTATCTGCTCGCTGTTGTTTCCATCCCTTCTACTGTGCTCATTGGTACCTCATACACCAATAGCGGCCACAGCAAGCGAGGTAGTATCCCATGTTGGTATATCCAGGCTTTATATTTACCGGGCAGTCCACTTTTATCCACAGTTTTCATCCATTCATCCAGCTGTCTGCATGTTTCTTTCACATTTTGTCTGTCTGTTAATGTGTCATTAAAGAATTTCCCTAAACACTTTACTGGCTTCTCTGAGACTGTTGGTATTGCCTCTCCTTCTATCTTGAATCTTACTTCTTTTACTTTTCCATTCTTTATCACTAAGCTACGAGACTTGCTAGGTTTTACTTTCATTCTTGCCCAAGTGATAGCTAATTCTAGTTCGTGTATTGTCCACTTGGCTTCAATAACTGTTTTGGTTGTTATTGTCATATCATCCATGAATGCTCTCCCAGGTGGTTGGCGTACTCCTGACTTCATCCATGGCCCTCTGCTCTTCTTCTCCACTGACTTGACTATCATGTTCATTGCTGCTGAAAATAGGATTACGGATATGGTGCATCCTGTTACTATTCCAACTTCTAAGCGTTACCATGCTGTTGTGTAATCCTGTACTGTGAATCGTAGTTGAAGATGGTCAAAATAGTCTTTTAAAACTACCCTCGTCTTCTCTGGTACATGGTATCTTTCAAGTGTCAGCTCGACTAGTTTATGGGGAACTGTCCCATATGCATTGGCAAGATCTAGCCAGATGACTGCCAGCTCCCCTTTAGACTCCTTTGTTTCCCGGATTATCTGTGTCAGTACACTTGTATGCTCAATACATCCTGATACTCCGGGTACTCCTCCCTTCTGCACAGCGATATCAATATACTGATCCTCAAGCATGTAACTAGACATTCTCCTCGCTAAAATTGTGAGGTATATCTTCCCTTCTACGTTCAGGAGCGATATAGTCCTAAATTGTTTCAATGCCTCTGATTTCTCTTCTTTGGGAATAAAACAGCCTTCTGCTCTGTACCAGCTATCTGCCAATCTGCCCCTCCTCCAAATCACTCATCAGTTTCCAGAGATGCTTTGTCAACCGTTGACAATTCTTATAAACTTTATACGGAACACCATTTGGTCCTGGTGCTGATGCTGCTCTGGCTTTCTTGATAACATCTGTTACTTCTTTTAGTTTTGGTGGTGATTCATCAAAGGGTTGATTTGGTTCTTCCGGATGTATCAACTTCTCTCACTCCCCCAACTCTTCCTCCCTATGTGGATCACTGTGCATCTCCCTCAAATATTCCTCAACGTCTTCCATCGGAGATTTCAATGATCCGGACCCTTTACTTCCTAGTAATCTTGATGTAAACTGAAATGGGTCTGCTGTGAATCTTGCTCTTGCTCTGTCTCGCTGTTTCCTTCTACGCCTACTTCTCTCTGCTCTTCTTGCTATCTTGAGATGTTCCCTGATGTTACCTCGTAAATGTGAAAGGGCCGGTTTCTCCTCATCAGTAGCCTTCCTATACTGCTTACGAAGCTGCCGCAGGTCTTTTCTCATCTTAGCTATTTCCCTCTCTCTCCTGTTCTTCCTTCCTTCTTTTTGTGACTTTTTCCTTTGTTCTGCACCAAACCTGTCTAGACCTACGCTGTATATAATTGATGTCATAGCTTCTATTTTCCTGTCAATACTGCCTGCAAGGGTTGTGTTCAGAATTGCATCCACATCTTGGTCAAACTGTTCCCAGTCGCTTTTGTTGTTACTGTTGGGCCATTTTACTTTCCCCTTTCTTATATTTCTGTCAGCACCCCTGTTATCTCCCATCTCTTCCTGCTGTTGACTGATGCTCTGTGATTGGTTGTTGTCCTCGCTGTCATGGCTTTCACTGTATGAAGCCTCGTCATTACATAACACATGGAGGCTGCGGTCACTGTGGTTTTCGTCCTGAACCACTTCCTCCTCCGTCTCACCAGGTTGCCCTGTGCGTTGTGTTAGCTGCTGATCTGGCTTACATCCCATCCTCCCCATGTGGATTTTAAGCCCCTTTTCGTTCTTGCATACTTTCCCACAGCTGCATACATTTCCACTGTTCGTATTCGTCGTCGTTTTTCGTTGCCTGGTTGTATCCTGATTTTCCGTCCCAACAGGTCGCTCATCCTCCCCCGCTCTCGCGCGACCTCGGGGGTATCTAAGTATGTATCTGTCCATAGCGTGATGAAATGGGTCCTACCTCACGGAAGTTGTGCTTTGGCCTGCCAAGCCTCCACACCCCTGATCCCAGTCTCTCCTGGTTGTCTCCTGACTCTCCATGCTGTCACTGAACTTTTCTCAGTTGTCATCCAGACTGTCCTTGCTGTCACTGGTTTCCCAAATAATATAACTTGTATACATCTTGACGGAAAGATGCGTGGTTCCATCCTCAGGTGGATCCTCCTTCATCGGCTGTTTCGGCGCTGTCCACTACAACCACCAGAGGTGCGCCGACTGGGGTGATCAAGTCCCAGCCTGGAACCACTTGGCTCTACATCACTGCTGTACTAATTCAGTGTCTGTCTTACTGTTGTTTATTCACATCACTGCTGTTCTAATTTACTATCTATCTAACGGTATATTTGGCATGTGATCTGCAGGAATCATTTGTAGGAAACATTGGTTGGCTGACCATAGCTGGTCAGATTTAACAAACAATCATAGGAATTTTTTTCAGTTAGTTTTAAATACCCTGTCAGATTGTTACTTTTATGACCGTTTTTTCTTTGGACATACAATAACATAGCAATGCTTCACAAAAAATAAACACCTTTAAGATACATGTATATATAAAAAACATAGATGATAAGTGTACATGTACATCAAACAAGTTTAAGTAGAATAGAAGATTGGAATTGATTTCGTTCTCTGTGCAACTAACCTAATTTATCTAATTCAAAACTTTAGTAAATCAGTACATTAAATGAAACTGACAAAAGCATTGATTATTTAAAAAAACACCCCCACACGAGGCTCGAACCAAAAACTAATATACTTAGTGCACTGGACAGGCAGCCCATCTTACTGAGCTATCGCTGCTACTCATTATTGAGGATTTTTAAGGACAAAGAAGCACCACATTTACACACTTGAATTTTTGGTGGTCTCTGGGTTTCCTCTCCATTTTTTAGCTCTACTGGTCGAAGACCAGAAGAGCTTATGCGATAGTAATGCGTCCGTCGTCCATCTGTCTGTCTGTCTGTAAGCAATTTTTCAAAATGCTACTACTCCTACAGTTTTGGTCTGATTTCAACATAACTTGGCACACAAGAAGACTATACTAAGATACATAATTCTGTGCATCGGTTTTTGATTTCGATGAACGATGTTGCCGTGGTTACTAAAAATAGAAATTTCTGTGAAATGCTTTCAAAATGCTACTCCTCCTACAGTTTTGGTCTGATTTCAATATAACTTAGCACAAAAATAGACTATACTAAGATACA